GGTATCTAGAATGTGAAAAATAGGATGGTATTGGGTAAAAGTTTTCAGGTTATAGTTGGTGAACATTTTTATAAGTAACATACTTCTGATTAATTAAGTTGCTATGCAACATGAATGTCTGAAGGATCTTCTGATAGACATGCCAACTATCCAGTTTTATTATTTCAGGAAAATGTGCATTATGAAGAAATAAGGCTGATGATCTATTTTATCACCAATATTGTAATGTCCATCACATGAACATAGGCCAAGAGTCTTTAATAACTCATGGTTCTAGCAATCAATTTTCTGGACCTCTCCCTCAAGTTTTAAGTTCATTGTCAAGATCTTTTTGCATACTTAAAAAAATCATCACAGGTTTATCTTTTTTGTGAAAAAAGAAAGTTCAGGATTGAAAAACATATCAGTTAAATAAGCCATTGACTTGAACAAAGAATTTATCCATCCTACCCAGATTTTTCTCTTTGTTGTGATTTATTTTTTTCTTTAGCAATTTATTTATTTATTTAAGTTGTTGATAGACCTTTATTTTATTTTATTTATTTATTTTTACCATATGATTTATTTATATTTTTTTAGTCATACATGACAGCAGAATGTATTTTGACATATAATACCTACATGGAATGTACATACATCAATCATAATGTCTATTCTATTCTGCTGCCCTTCCTATCCCCCCTATTTGTGATTTATTTTTTCTTAATGAAGAAAAGTAAAATTTAGACTTGAGTTTAAGAGTTCACAAAAGCATATATCCTGAGCTTGGTAGAGCAAGGTGTCAAATTCAACTAGTTTTATGTCATATTTTTTCTAAAAAGATGAGTATTCAAGTACAGATTTTTTTATTAATTATTATTCTTATCATTTTATTTTCACTTTACTGAGTTCATGAGAAAGATCAATGGCAACTTCCTTTTGAGTATCTGCTCTTGAGTGACAGTGCACCTTCTGCTGAGGAATTCTGGGTCATGACAGCTTTCCTATGGGCTTCTGATCCTGAAGTTTGCCATAGATTAGCCGGGAGTGTGCAGAAGTCCTCAAGTATATCTTGCAAGAATATTAATATGCACCTTATGACTGTGTCAATAAGGGGTTCTTTTTCAGCTTGGCTGCTTCTTTCTAACCCAAAACTGAGTAAGCCATATCTAAATTGCAGGCCTTCATTCCACTAATACATGAGCTTCATCTTCTCAGCAATTCTGCAAACTGACCTTGAGGAAGCATCGAGCAAATTTCATTGGCTTGTTTGAGTGTGCTTTTTATTATTGTCCTTACGCAAGATCTCTCTCCTTTTTTTGCAAGACATTCTGATGATTTCCTTTCAAAATTTGCATGATTGGTTTTTAAATATCCATCAAGACCAATGCAGTCACTGTTTGGGGGTTGGGTGCAGGTTAGATACCAAGGTTTAGGCTCATTCGCGTTTCTATAATAGTGAAAATCATGTTCTAGATAAACACCTAAGCACAGACTAAAGCATTTAGTCAGAATGGCCTGGCTGTGATGGGGCAGATGTCACCTGGATGAGAGGGTAAAAAAGGAGTCTCAGAAGCTTTGCTGTATGTCACACCACCCAACCATGTCAGGCGACTCTATATTTCTCTTCGTTGTCTTTTAAAAATGCAATGATTTCACACTTAAAGAAAAAAGATAATTCCCATTTTATTTATGTCGATATGTTCCTGGATGAATATATCATTTAAAAAGAGCGTATCATGGAGGCTGGATGCCCAGAAAGTAATGTGCTGGTACCCAAAGGAGGCATAGAAGCTACTTCCTTGACAGTGGCCTGATAACAATGGTTGTATTTGTATTTTTGATTTCCTTGTTCTTATGAAATTTAAATAATTCTTTATTAGTAAATAAACACAGAAGAATGTGGACAACCCAAATAGCCAAAATCATGAAAAAAGAACTCGTAACTCATCCAAATAGATGCAAACTCAAATTTAACTTGGAAATCAATCTAAGAACTACATTACATTTGTGGGGGGCACCCAATATAAGAATGTTTTCATCTAGTTTCAAACCAGCCATGCTGGGTCTTGTTCAGAGATGCCTTGGGCATTCAACCACAGTAAGAAGTTGATTTCAAGAAAAGATGGCAGAAAGAAAGAAAGGAAAAAGGAAAGCAAATAAGAGGATGAAGCTGAGCCCAAAGTAATATTTTATCAGAATTGCTGAAATTATTGACTGTTTAGACTCTACAGAGTCAGAGTTGGAGGCAAATCGTTCAGTTCCTTGCTTGCAACAGGCGGGTCCTTTGTATTATCTCAGAGATCATGAGAACCGTGGGCAGAGAAGAAGGCTCAACAAGCTTCAGTGGGATGGCTGGCCTATCCCACACCAATTTGCCATTAGTTACACGTTGCCACCTCTTCAGCTAGTCTTGCTTTGCACTGTTAATTTTTATGTGATTAAAAAAATAATAGACATCTGGGGCTGGGGTTGTGGCTTAGTGGTAGAGCGCTTACCTCACATGTGTGAGGTTCGATCTGGGTTCCATCCTCAGCACCACATAAAAATAAATAAAGGTATTGTGTTCATCTACAACTAAAAAAAAATTTAAAAAAAATAGATATCTAAGAAATTATACTATTTTGCCATGGAATGCAGTGTGGTGCATTGAAATAATTTAGGATTTATAATCAATCAGGTTTGAATTCAAATCTTGCTCCCTGTTGATAGAGCATCTTCAGCAAGTTATTGAATTTTCTGAATTTCTTTTGACATATGAAAAATGTAGGTAATACCATTTGATGTTGGTTGGAATGAGGATCAAATGAGAAGATATATGTCATGAACTTGGTATATTACAAGGCCATACCTATTCAAGAACTCCCTTCTCTAAACGATACAAGCCATCTTTAGAAAGAGACTTCAGAACTTTATAATAATTGCCCCATTCAGATCAGGCCCCTCTCAATGTTCACTTCCTCTCAGCTCCAAGGAAACTAACTACCCATAGGCTGTTCCTTGCCCAGCTGTTATGATTTTGTCATGGAACTCTGCAGCCCTGGACACAACTATCAGTTGGATCAAAATGCAGAGTTTTCTAGCTTGGACCTGTGAGGTGAACTGAGACTCTGCCCACCAGGCACATCAGAGACCACTTAGTGACTAAGACCCAACAACACCTCTGTGGAGGTTGAAGGAGATAGGTGATCAGCTGAGGGCAGAAGTAGGGACGGGGACAAACAACAAACAGCAGCAGAGCAGGTGCCCTGAAGGTAAGATCCCCCTAGCATGGAGGCACCATCTTGCTTTATTAATATTAACTAATCCCTAGGATGGTGGTAAAGGAATCACCCCTTCCACAATAGCTCAGCTCCATGTCATAGTAAAGAAAGGTAAAGCCTTAATGAGTTAACATCTATTTAACATTTCTGTATCAAATACAGCCACCTCTTTCAAATAGCTTGCTGAAGTTCGCTAATTTTCACTACAAGTTCTCCTTCACTGGATATTCACAAGACTCTGGGAGATCTTGTGGATGTGACAACAGGGGAAACCAGTCCCAACATGAGTTGGTTTTGAATCCAATGCCACGAAAGTCTCTCCACTGCTAACAAAAAGTGGTGGGATTTCAGACTATTAGGAATAGGGTCTCATAAATTTAAAAATTTTAATGCATGAAGGTACAATGATCTCTTAGGGATGTATAGAGGTGAAACCTTTCCTCTTCTGCCTCTGTATTTTAACTTCAAAGTCTGTGATCTTATCTCCCACAAAAATACATAGAAGGTGTTCAGTCTTTGAATGGTCGAGATTGTAGAAAAAATGAAGAAATGGATTCACTTTTGTGATAGAAGACATCTTTTCTTAAGTATCTGCCTAGCGTAGTTATGTGTTGTGCATGAATTATTTCTTTTAAATCCCACCACTTCTCCCAAGAGGCCCTTCTTTGCCTCTGGTTTTGTAATGTAGAAAAATTTTGGAATCTTGGGAATAAATCTTAGGCCCAAGTACTCCATCTCCAACACTAAAATTAGCTTTTTTTATGTTATGTTTTCTCTTTCTGGTGATCTAGTCTTAAACTAAAGCAGCAAAGCTCAGGGGTGTTGGTCTCTAGGATCTTGGAGCAGAGGCTGTGCCTCTCTTGGGTAAAGGTATCTCTGCCTCTTCCTCAGTGTGTTTGTCTGATTTTGCCACCAGCAGTTTCCAAAGAGAGCTCTCCTCCTCAGCCAGGGGGCTGACTCAGGGGCCTAGTGTTTTCCTCCAAGTCCCCACAATGAGGCTTACAGAGCACTATTAAAATCCACACATTCCTTCCATTTGTTTCTAGTCAGTTCCACAAACCGGGACGTTTGCTTAATGTGGAAGACCAGTGGGCACAGTGGGTAAATGTCACCTTCCTACTGAGACTTCCTACTGGCTTCTTTTGAGTGCACACAGAACTTGACAGGTTCCCCAATGTTTTCATGGCTTTGTGACCCATGACCCTTGTGGCCAGCTGTATGCCAAGCAGGCTGAAGTGCCAGGGATCTCTAAGGATGCCTGTGCTCTGTGGGAGATAGGTAGGCGTGTGGCCTGGCTCAGAGCTCACTGAGTCACCTTGCTGCCTACTCCATCCTGCCCCTTAAAGCACAGTGACCCTGAGTCCTGCAGACCTACTTCTGGCTCTGGGATATGGCTGCCACCTTCCTTCTCCATGCGGGTGCTGGGGCCTCTTAGGCAGGCAGGTCATTAGTGGGGTCTAGGTTTACTGGCTCCTTTATACACTGCAGTGAAAATGTCACAGTGACCTGAGATATGCTGGGTCCCATTATGAATTTGGCTAAAATGCTGCCTATTTCTATATTCAGAGAGCCATACTATTTTGCCTCCTTTTCTTTTTTAAGTCTTTAGATCATTGAAATTTTGCTTATTATCTTCAATAGTTACTCATCAAAATTAATACAGTTGGCTCCCACTTGGCAGTGGTACCGTTGGGGGCTGTCTGCAGCTGGCCCATTGATAGGGAAGAGACTGTGGATCCCCCGATGGTGTTCACTTACCACTGAGAAGAGGCCGGTTGTGTCGGTATGACGTGGGCAGCTGCCCAATGTCCTCCATCCTGTGGCTCATGACCCGAGAGAGGTGGCCTGTGTGATGCAGGCTTCCCACGATGATGCTGTGGAGGTACACAGGCTCGATGAAGTGACAGAGGAGAGCTCCTTGTAGTCCCAGGACGTTCCACCTGGAATGAAAAGCAAGGGTGGAGCTAGTGGGATTCTCTCACCTGCCGGAGGGCACAGGGACAGCTGCCCTCAGCCCACCCAGGGCACTGAGGGAACAGCCTATTGTACAGTGTGGGCTTCTTTCTGCCCTTCAGCAAACTGGTCCTCGAGGTGTCACTCTTCCCATCATACAGATGCTGGAAGGGCCCGCCTGGGAGCTGCCCAGACACGGTAGAGCCATCAGGCTGGCCTTGGCCTGTGGCCACTAATGATTCTAAGCGGCTTCAACGCAGTGGGACTGAGCTAGCAGCGCCTCTGCATGTTAATAAACTCAGCTTCCTTCTCTAGAAAATGAGCCGTTAGACATAGAAGAAGCTATATGTTCTCTTGGGGACTTAAAATTAGATTCTTTAAAAAAGACACTCTGTCCCCAAAGTGAATCTGAATTTTTCTTTATATTAGCTGGGAAATATCAGAAATTCAATTCGTTTATTTCAGTTTAGGGAAAAATACTGTCTTCCCCTCCCTTTGTCCTTAGCAGTCAGAATGACCTACTGTGTTGAAATTAAATGACATTAATCAATGACCTTGTTTTGGTCTAGGGATGATTGTGATTTTAGAAGTCCAGATCAGAGAGAAAAAGACAAGGCCATTTTCTTTGAAATAAATATAGCTCCATGCAAACGGAGCTTCTTCAAGCAAGGATGCCAGGAACACCGGAAGGATTTTCCCCCTTGAATTCTGGTGGAAAGAGTTTTCTCGTATCTATTATTGGAGGCAACAATTTTGTGGTTTTCACTCTAAATAATGTGTTTAAAATCCAACCTCCATCGGTGGCAAGCATTATGCAGCTAATTTCTTACATCATTGTTCTCTTCATTAATTAACATTTCTCCACTGTTCCAGCAATTATTGTGGGGCCTCCATGCCGTACATCTCTTTTCATGATTAATAAGGAGTCATTATATTTCCCTTCCCGAAGCAGTCAATTAACACAGAATTCTTTCCATTAATTACCGAATGTCTCTCTACCTGGAGAGCAATCTGCTCTGAGAACCTGTGACACCAATTGCTTTAAAAAGTTCTCTTTAAATTTTATTCCAAAAACACAAGCAATTTAGCTGGCGATATTAATTTGCCTCAGAAGCATCGCGGTGAATGAGAAACATCTTTTAATCTCATGCAAGAAAAGGCAGCCATCTGGCTGGCGAGAATTTCAGGGAGCAACTCTTACACTCTCCCTCTGTAAATGCAGGTCATTAAAGTAATGTGTTCATCTACATAAAACTCCAATGGAATATAAAAGGTAATATTTATATACAAACAATTTAGTCCTACAATTTAAACAGTCATTGGTTTTATGAAACATTTACTTTAGTCTATCAGATTTGCATAACTTCATTTAAAAATATTGTGGTCATTTTTATAAGTCACATCATTCTCTCAGAAAGTAAGGGAAGGGCTGTCCTTGGACATGCAGGCTCCGATCAAAGAGCGAATGTCAAAAGGTTTCAAGGGAAAGGACATTTCGGAAAGAAGCACAGGTACTTATTACTGATGTTTAGGGACCCCTCCATTTGGCAATAATGTTCATGCCTCCACCTGTATTTCTACCACTATGCTCTGACATGCCAAATGTGGTTCTTCTATCTTTTCCTTGCTTTTCCCTGACGATATACAGAATGTCTGCAAAATCCAGGAGAGGTTTGTGATGCCTGAGCTTTTCCTTGAAAGAATAACACTAATGGTTTTGAGTATTGACCTAGGGCTGTGGCTCATTCTCTTAAATCTGAGATGAGAAGAAAGACCAAAAACCAAGGAGAAATACAGCAAAGTCGCTGTCTTTTAATACCTCTTTTTCAGATTTGAAGATGGTGGAAAGTGTGCCAGTAGAGGTTACTGTTAGAACAAAGGATGCTGCAAAGGAAAGTGTGCCAATAAGAGGTCACCGTTATAGCAAAGGATGCTGGGAAAGTATGCCAAGGAAAGGTTACCATCAGAGCAAGACTCCAGGTTACAGACATTCTAAATGGGGCCTATTAATTCTCAGACTGTGAGTGCAATTTAAAAATTTCTCCCCAATTAAAAGCAGGGAAATGTACAATTCTCCATTGATAACAAAGCACTCCTTAGAACAGCAAAGTATTAAAAATAAAATTAGCATCCCCAGAAGAGACATCATAGTATTTGAGACTGTTGAAGAATTTGGTTTTTAACTAAACTTCTGGAACAAAATCTGAGTGGTTCTGATTCTATAGAATCGTCTAAAGACAAACAACTTCTATAACTGGTTTCCTCCTAATAACCTTTACAATAAAGAGAAAAACCAGCCTTCTTCTTGTCTGTGTATAGGAATTCAAACTTATTCAACTAACACAATCAATAAAACCAAATGTCTTTCTGAATATAAACTGGAGAATTCTCAGCATTCAGGATTGAATGGAAAAATACCTCTCCTTTTGTTCAAATAGCTGATATTACCACAATGTTGACAGAGAAAAAAATCCCATGTCTAGTTTTCAATATAGATAATCCCTAAATAAATATATTTTTCTCTGTTTGTCAATCATAGAAATACCACAGATAAGTGGGGAGAGATCTGGGAAAAACAGCCTCTCTTTAGCCAAGAGATGCAATCTCCTTGCAGAGTTCAAACCATGGCCTCCCAATATCAATGGGAACATGACAAGATTCCTTATAGGATAGGCCCCATGGGAGACCGTCCCTACATGGGTGGCCTTGGAGATAGGCAGAGAATAGCAATCAGTTTGTCTCCTGTCTACAGTTTTCACTGCCTCTCTGTGGCCCCAAGGAAAGAAGCTGCTCTCCAAAACTGCAGTGAAGTGGGTGGTAACATTTTCAGGTACCAACACAAACACACACTTCCTATGCTCTCTTCATCTATGGATGGATCTACCCCGTGGAGAAAGCTCCCTATGTCTGCTGGAAGGCTGTGGAGTCCAGGAGGGGGTGCTGAGGACCTAGTGTTCACAGTCTTCAGGGACGTGCAGGGCCCTGCAGTTGAGCTGAACCCCAGATCATCCGGAGGCCTTGACAATTCCCGGGGGTCTGCATCCCCATGAACATTCTGGCATAACTGGTTGGGGTCAGCCTGGGCATCTGCCCTTCCAGGGCTCCCTCCATGATTCTTATGTGAGCCAGGGTAGAGGACTTCTGAGCAGAGTAGTTTATGTAGATTTTTGGAGTCCAAAGAGGTCAAATCCGAGTCCATAGTCTGTCCAGCCAGGCCATTCTGGAACACCTCCTGCTGCCTTGAGCAATAGCCAATTCAGCATGAGCCAGCTGCATGCCTTACCTGGGAACTCGACAGGAGTGCATGTTTCCCAGCCCCACCCCAAACCTTCACTGGCTCCCCTGAAGTGGCCTGCTCAGGCACAGGTGCCACCTGCCCTCCTGGCCTCTCATGTGTGTCCTCTCTTGTGTGGCTGCCTCCTTTTCCTAAAGGCATCCTGCTCGGAGAAGCCCCTGCTCGGAGTACGTAGAATTGGTAACCATGCTGTGTGTAAGCCATCTTTGGGGATGTCCTGGATGGAGAGGCCACTCTCTTGTCGTCTTTGAGTGTTATCTCTTGTTCACTAGGCTGCTAGTTTTGTTTTGCAGAGCTGGGCTTCCTAGTTCCTTTTGTCTGCACTTGTCTGGACAGAGTCCCTGGGATTGGGCTGCTGGCTGTGTCTCAGGTGGGAAATCATCAGCCACTCTGTCCACTTTATGAGGTTGCTGCAGCAGGGACAGGTGGCAGCTGCATCAGAGTTCTTGATGTGTTGCTATTGCTCTCATATATTTCATAAGTTTGATTGAATCAATCACTCCTTTCATCATTAGAGATTGTACGAAGTTTCATTTCAGAGCTGTCATAAAAATCATCAAGCAATCTATGTGAAAGGGGTAAAAAGACTTTTAAGCCAAACTGAATATTTGGGTTGGGTATTTATAAGTGCAATCATTGCAAAGGGACCTATATTTTGAGATGAGGAAAATCAACAATGCTCTTATTTAACTTTGGTAAACTCGATAAGTACCTGCTGATAAATCAAGAAGGAAGGATGTCAGAATATTTTCCCCAGGTGGGCAAGGGGCAGGGAGAAGGAGGGAGAAATGGGCTTGAGAGGATACTGAGCAGCAGATCTTTATGCTCGGAAGGGGAGTTTTCTCTTCACAGCTGGAATTTAAGTCTAGAGATCAGTGCCTCATTCTCCAGAGAGCAGCTATCATTTTTTACAGTTCATTTTTATGGAGAAAGTTTTAATCTGTTCATTTAAAGACACTTTGTGATCAATAATCAAGCTCAGGCACTTAAAATTAGAAACCATATCTAAAGGAGCATTAGTTCCAGAAGATTTAGATTTTTATATGGCACTCAACTTTTGCTTCTTAGAGACAAAGGCAGAAAACACCTCTCTGGTTTTCCTCACTCTTTAAGGATGCTGTGTGTCGAGAATGTAATAAACTGAATTCTTAGAGCCGGACAAACAGGCTGCCATCTGCAGAATGTGGGATGTGACAACCATGCTTGTTTTCATCTGTCCCTTGCTCCATGCAGGGACAGGGTTTGTTGGCCATGTGCTACTCAACCTTAATCTATGGTTTTAAAGGTCAGTTTTCACTGATGAGGTGAAACGATCACTTTCTATAGTTTCATTCAGTTTTCGAGGGTGATATTATTGGTGGGTTTTTAGGAGTAGATTTTACTGTGATTCATTTTCTGGTTCCATGACTTCCCAGAGAGATAAGCTAAATGAGTAGTTCCTCTTACCTTGCTGTATTAGTTTCCTAAGACTTGTAGCACATAACCCAAAACAGAGTGACTTGAAACAATGGGACTGCATCTCTCACGGTTCTGGAGGTCCAAATCCTGAAGTCGAGGTGTCAGCAGGGACTTGCTTCCTCTGGAGACTCGGCCAGATGGGGGGACCCTCCTTCACCTTTTTCAGCTGTGGGCGGCTGCGGTGATCCATGGCGTTCCTTGGCTTGTGTGCTGGTGATCTCTGCCTCTGCTCTC